GTGGTGGAGGGGAGCGAGGTCGAGGTCCGGATTTCAGCCGCCGACCTCGAGGGCGCGCCCTTCGAGGCGCTCGTCCTCGCCGCCGGCCGGGGGGACGGCGCGTTATCCCCCGCCAACCCCGCCAACCCCGCCAACCCCGCCACCAGGGCCACCACGGCCACCACCGCCAACCCCGCAAACCCGGCCACCCCCCTCCCCCCCCCCCCCCGCGCGCCCGCCACCCCCGCCACCCCCCCCTCTCACCCCTCACGAGCCATCGCGGCTGCGCGCTGCCCCTCGGCGCCCACCGCCCGAGTCGCGTCGCAGGCCTCTACCGCGTGCGCTACTCGTGCCTGCACGCCTCCGCGCACGCGGACGAGACGCTCAAGGAGTGGGTCCAGCCGGCGACCGAGGACGAGCTGCGCCCGCCGCCGCCGCCGCCGCCCGACGGCTTCCACGCGCGCCTCTCTCCGGGCGACAAGCTCGAGCTCCTCTTCGAAGGTGGCTGGTGGCCGGTCGTGCTCACCTCGCGTCCGCCTCCCCCGCCGGCTGCCGCCGCGTCGAGCGCGCCGCCGCCGCCGCCGCCCCCCAAGCGAGGCTTGGGCGTCGAGTCCGCGATCGACCCGGCGCGCTTCGCGGGGCTGACGACGAGCGCGCCGCCGGTGCGGCTCCGGCCGGCGTGGGTCTGGGAGGGGCGCGCCGGCGGCGGGAGCGGCGGCTGGACCTTCGAGACGCAGGCCGACGGCTGCGTCAAGCTCGACAAGGCTGGCCGGCCGCACCAGCCCGTCTACCAGCCGATCAAGCACGCCACTGGCGCTTTGCCCGCCGCCGACGCCAGCCGCGACAGCGAGCCGGCCGAGGCTGCGCCCGCCGCACACGCGGCGAAGGCGGAGCCGCTCGCCGCCGAGAACGGCGAGCACGCTTCTCCCTCCGCTGTGATGGTGGGCGCCAGCCCGGTGGAGGGCGTCGGACTTCGGGGGCGCGCCTTCACGGTGCTGGCTGGTTTGGTGTATAGGCGAAGGTGGAGGTTGAGTGTGAGCCGGAGAGCAGCGACGAGGCAGGGGCGGAGGAGGAGGGGGCCGGCGGCGCCGAGGGCGGCGATAGCATGGACAGCCAATGAGGCGGGTGTGGGAGAGAGAGCTCCCAGAGCGGGGGCAGGGCCAAGATAGAAACGCGCAACAGTTTTTCTGAGCAGCTCACTTCTGTCGTGGTCTCACGTGCCCCACCCCGCCCTGCAGACGAGCACCAAGCACGCCACGCATGGACAGATGTTGATCTCTTTCAATCAACGCGGATCAGCCCCTTGGAGTGTGAAAGGCTTCGTAGCCCTCCGGTCTACTATGAAGATCCGCAGGACTGGAGCGAAAAAAAAGCAAGCGCGTGAACGCGGATTCAACGTACCCACAATCTTCGCCTATACCTATACTACAAAAATACACAAGAAGACAAGTCCATCAAGACGAAGAGGGAAATATCACACCCGTAGAGATCGAGAGTTCAGAACACACATTGTCATTGAGACTGCTACACTGGGCCACGTATGTACAGCAGGCAACACACACAGCCCGAGAAACAGAAGAATTGCTCTCGAGAACTAAGTGCATCATCCGCGATCCGGGAAGAGGCGAGAAAGAGATTGCCGAGGGCGCCCCCATACGTAGAGGCTAGAGCAGAACGCGCGCCTCAGGGGGGCCATCAAGCCGAGAGATGTGGCAGAAGCTACCGAGAGCGAGAGATGGGTGGGCGCCAATGTACATTGAGCTGATGCTCCGAAAGCCTAAGCCGGTCGGGTCGCGCTGCCCATGCCGTGTGCTCCGCTCCGACCGCGCGACCAAGGATGGCCCGAAGCGGGAGGGTCTGAGTCACGCGGTGCGGGGTGGGCTCGGGGCGGGACGCATGAGCTTGCTTTCTCACGCCTCGTGCGACTCTGTGCCCTCCGGCGACTCAGTCCCGTCCTTGGTCGCATCCATGTCGGCCTTCTTCTTGCGAAGGCGGAGCCCCGCGGGGACGATGTGCACGTCCGTGTCGGTGTAGGCCAGTCCCCCGTGGTGCGTCGCGTCGAGGCCCTCGAGCTCGTCCGCCTATCACCAACCCGCGTGCGCTTCTGACTCAGGCTGGTGGGGTGGAGGCCCTCTCGAGGTCTCGACGCTCTCGCGAACCTCGGGCACGCGGAGGGTGCCGCACAGCTTCATGCCGTAGAAGAGGAGGAAGCACGAGGCGAGGCCGTACAGGGTGATCACGACGACCGAAAGGAGCTGATACGCCAGCTGCATGCCGTTGCCGCCGTAGAAGATGCCCGAAAAGTCGTCCAAGGTCAAGTCCTCTACTTTTGTGGTCCGGCCGCTGAATTCGGTGCCGTAGGTCGCGTCCCAGATGTCGGGGTCGCTCAGCAGCCCGCAGGCGATCATCGACCACACGCCCGGCCAGTAGTGCAGCGCGGAGGCGCCTACGGCGCAGTGTCGTGGCACGTCGCGGGCCTCTGGGAGAGGCGCCTGGCCGGCAGTGCACTCGCGAGGCGCCGAGGGGGTCGTCCACCGGCCCGCCGAGAAACTTGCCGCAAAAGTAGATGTTGAACCAGAGGCCGAAGCGGTAGGCGAGCACGGAGATGGGGGCGATGATCCAAAAAGCGGCCCAGATAGTGGTGCAGCCGCACGAGGAGCAGATGCCAACCTGAAGGCAGGGGGGGGGGGGAGGGGGTTGAGGCGGCGCCCAGTGTGTGCGTGCGTATGTGTGACGGGGGGGGAGCTTGGGCGGGGG